AAATATGCCAAGTATAGAGTATAGTTAGGAGTTTGAAAATGTTCATTATATAACCAAAATATCATCCTCTCCCGGGATCCTTTTTTGTATCTTTAAGCTTATTTTGGCTTCTGCTTTCAAGAGAGTCTGAAGAGATATATTCACTCAGCAAGCAATTTGGGGCTCTTCTGATGTGAATATTATTGAAAACGTTATGAGTGGTATTATGAAAGGTGCTGAAAAGATGAAAACAATCAGAAAACAGGAAACTGACGAGGCAACCATTGAAACAAATACAAAGGCGCTCTAAGCTAGCAAATGATTTGAGTGGGAGATTAATTTTCGGTATCTGAAGGACAGCTTTATAAAAACTAATGTAAGAGCTATTTTAACCAAAGAGACAACGCACCACACTGGGGAAAATACTGAATGAGGAGCCAGAGGCCTGGTGCTAGTCCTGGCAAATGACGCAGTCTTTCTGTGATTTAGTTTCTTACCCATTAAGTTGGGATAACAATGGAGTTAATTTTTTCCAAATGATATAGTATATGTTGGAGGTATTTTAGAAGTTAACTATCCTTTGCTAATAATGCAATTGCAATATTTAATTTTATTTAAAAAAATAAATTATATATATTTTATTGATTTTTTTTTTTACAGAGAGGAAGAGAGAGGGATAGTTAGAAAGATCGATGAGAGAGAATCATCGATCAGCTGCCTCTTGCACACCCCCTTCTAGGGATGTGCCCGCAACCAAGGTAAATGCCCTTGATCGGAATCAAACCCGGGACCGACTTTTCAGTCCCCAGGCTGACGCTCTATCCACTGAGCCAAACCAGTCTCGGCGCAATTGCAGTATTTTAAAGTTGCCTTCCGATTTAGTTTCCCTCTTTAGTAGGCTAACTCCCCCCCACGCCCCGTCCCCCCCACCCCCCCTCCCCCAATCCTGGCTTAGCAATGAGGCTAGGTTTGGGAAGGAGCACCTTTGGGCCAAAGGAAGTTCCAGGGAGACAGGAAGGGGAAGTAAGAGCAACACATCTGTCCCAGTTTCGGCGGGTCACGGGAGAAGGCAGACAGATGTGAGCCTCCAGAGAAATGTCCTCTCCAGCTTTGGTCCCAAGCTGGGGAGGGTACGTTAGGTCAGGGTTTCTTGTTTCAATTTATTTTACTTATTTATTTTTATTGTGGTAAAAGATATAACATTTACTTAAAATCATTTTAAGTATACAGCCATGTGGTGTTAAAAATATTCACACTGTTGTGCAACCAGCACCCCCATCTGTCCCTGTAACCCTTTCATCTTGTAAAGTTAAAACAATATCTTCCCCAGCCCTAGCTGGCTTGGCTCAGTGGATAGAGCATCAGCCTGCGGACTGAAGGGTTCTGGGTTCTATTCCAGTCAAGGGCACGAGCTTGGGTTGCGGGCTTGATTCCCAGTAGGGGGTGTGCAGGAGGCAGCTGAGCAAAGATTCTCTCTCATCATTGATGTTTCTATCTCTCCCTCCTTTCTCCCTTCCTCTCTAAAATCAATAAAAATATATTAAGCAAACAAACAATATCTCCTGATTCCCCCCTTCACCCAGGCCCTGGTAACCACCATTGTACTTCCTGTCTTTATGATTTTGTCTACCTCATGTTAAGTGGAATCATGAAATATTTGTGTGTGTGTGTGTGTGTTTGTGACTGGCTTATTTTACTTAGTGTAATGTCAACCATATTGCATATTGCAGAATTTCCTTTCCTTTCAAGGCTGAATAATATTCCACTGTCTGGATATTCCACATTTTACTCATGTATTCATCCGTCCATGGGCATGTGGATTGCTTCCACGTTTTAGTTATCGTGAACAATACTGCTCTGAAGGCAGGTACAGATATTCCTTGAGACCTCACTTTCAGTTCTTTTTGTTATAATCCAGAAGTGGAATTGCTGGATTGTGTGGTAATTCTATGTTTAAGTTTTTGAACCGCCATACTGTTTTCCACAGCAGCTGTACCATTTTACATTCCCACCAACAGTGCACAAGTGTTCCAATTTCTACTCATTCTCACCAACACTTGGTTAACAGTAGCCATCCTAATGGGTGTGGTGCAGTATCTCATTTCAGTTTTGATTTGCATTAGTGTTGTTGAGCATATTCTCATGTGCTTATTGGCTAGTCAAATATATTTTTGAAGAAATGTTTATTTAGGTCCTTTGCCCTTTTTTGAATTCAGTTTTTTTTTTTTTTTTTTTTTTTTTTAAATTCAGTCTTTTGGGAGTTCTCTCAATATTCTGTCAGCCTGGGCACTGAATGGTCCTGGGTTTGATTCTGATCAAGGGCATGCACCTTGGTTGCAGATTCCCTGGCCCTGGTCGGGGTGCGTGCAGGAAGCAACCAACCCATGTATCTCTCACACATCAATATTTCTCTCTGTCTCTCCCTCTCCCTTCCACTCTCCCTAAAAATCAATGAGAAAGTATCCTCAGGTGAGATGGGGCAGATGCTCTATCCACTGAGCCAAATCGGCTAGGGCTGGAATTGCTTTTTTTTTTTTTAAATATATATTTTATTGATTTTTTAACAGAGAGGAAAGGAGAGAGATAGAGAGCTAGAAACGTTGATGAGAGAGAAACATCAACCAGCCGCCTCCTGCACACCCCCCACCAGGGATGTGCCTGCAACCAACGTACATGCCCTTGACCGGAATCGAACCCGGGACCTTTCAGACCGCAGACCGATGCTCTACCACTGAGCCAAACCGGTTTCAGCTGGAATTGCTTTTAAGGTGAAAAAACAACAACAACACAATAACAAACAACCCCCCAAAAACCCTAAGGGCAGCAATAATGATCCATTTTAGCTCTATTTATTTTTATCCTATTTTTTGTTTGTTTCAAGCTCAATTGTAACAGTGGTTAATTAATACAGGAGGTTGACGGCCTAACCAGTTTGGCTCAGTGGATAGAGCGTCGGCCTGCAGACTTAAGGGTCTCAGGTTCGATTCCGGTCAAGGGCATGTACCATGATTGCGGGCACGTCCCCAGTAGGGGGTGTGCAGGAGGCAGCTGATCGATGTTTCTCTCCCATCGATGTTTCTAACTCTATCCTTCTCCCTTCCTCTCTGTAAAAAATATCAATAAAATATACTTGAAAAAAAAATACAGGAGGTTGAGGATAGTAGGTGTGGGGTTGCTCGGTGGAGTGAGTTGTAGAAGGAGAACATGTTTGTACGGGCGTTTTTTGAGTGTGGTGGGTGTGTGGTGTTCATGAGTGCCATGGAGGCACCTGCCAATGATGCTTGGGCTGGACAGAGCCAGGGGAATAAAGGGGCCGGGCTTTCTGTTACATGTGACAGGACACAGCTGAACTGGCCGGAGGAAATAGAGAAGGGGGGTTGATCGGCTTCAGGGGTAGGAGTTCATTCAGTCCCATTTGCCTTCCAAGACTCAAAAGACACCTTCTCTTCCTCAGCTTCCCTTCCTTTAAGGTTGGCCTCATCCACAGGCAGTGGTGGTAGTTGTTAGACCTGGTTTGTATCCTTCAAGTTCGTGGTCCACAGAGCCAAATGTCAACAGGACGACGATTGACATTTCTTTTGAGAGCCCCATTTTTTAAACTTAAACTTCTTCTGATGCCACTTCTTCAACATAGACTCGCCCAGGCCGTGGTATTTTGTGGAAGGGCCACACTCAAGAGGCCAAAGAGCCGCATGGGGCTCTCGAACCGCAGTTTGCTGACCACGGGTCTAGAAGACATCTGCATTTAAACTCGGATTTGCAGCATAACACTCCAAGAGGTCTTCAGGCTGATAACTCACTACAGTAAAGAGCCGCATGTGGCTCGCGGTTTGCCGGCCACCGTCCTAGTTTAAAGGGCTTCTTTTTCTGAATGGATTCAGCCAAGCTCCAGATTGAGTTGCTGGACCAATATTCCCATCCGGTGGCCAGTCACTGTGGTTGGTCTGTAATAGGATGACCAGCTGGGTCGGAGATGGGAGGTGGCAGGTGTTGGCATCCTGGTACCAAGAAGACTCCTGCGCCAGGGGGAAGGGCAGTGTCTCTCCCCTTAGTTACCAGAGAAGGGGAAGAGATGAATACCGACAGCACATATTTTGAAAAAGCCAAATTAAGGGATATCTACTATCTTTTTTCTTTGTGGGGGAGATATTTTGGGACCCCTCCATATAGGTACAGTTGTTAAACTGTAAAATCCAGTAAATCTTTCCCATACCTGGGTAGATACCACGCATAGGGGGCAATGTCCCCACATTTCAGCGTTTTTACTCTTTCCCCAAGCGGGGCTGAGCCCACGGAGATGCTGCAGAAGCAGCAGAGAGAAGGCCGAAAACATTAGGGCCGCACATGCTTACATGCTAGTGCCCTCTTTAGGCAACGCGGCTCAGCGCGCTCCCAATAATCCATTTTTAATCGTGACCACACCCCGCGTAGGTGACGGGAGGAGTGTTGCGGTCCGGCCCTCGCAGTTGGGGAAACCGAGGCATGACACCCCTCCATTCGGCTTTTCCGCGGGATCCAGGAAGGGTGTGGGTGCACGACCTGGGAGGGCCCCCTCCCTGCTCCGCGTCGCCGTTGGCAGTCCGGCCCCCCGCGCCGCCAGGGAGCAGGGGAACCTTCGCAGCCTCGGATCCGCCCGCGCCCGCCCGCTCACCTTCCCGGGAAGGTCCCGCCGGCCAAGGTCTGTCTGTCCCTCCCGTCCTCCACCCCCCACCCCCGTCTCCTCCCGGGTCCCCGACGTGCCCGAGGCCCCCGCCCCGCGCCCCGCAGGGCGGTGCGGGCAGAGGCTGCGCTGGCAGCCGGCGGGAGGGGCGCGGGCGCTCCCGGATGGAGCGGCCGGCCCTTCGCCCTCCAGGGGCCGGGGCGCCGCGGGTGGGGGCGGCGGCGGGCCCGCGGGCGGGGAAGGTGGCGGCGGGCGGGAGGCCGGGGAAGGTGATGGCCGGCCGGAGGCCGGGGAAGGTGGCGGGGAGCCGCCAGAGGGGCCGGGCGGGCCGCGCACGGAGAGCTCGCGGGCGGCGCTGCGGGCTGATCGGGGACACGCCGCGCCGGGCCCGGCCGCCGAGCTGCGCCCGGACCCGGCGCCTCGGAGCGCGGGCGGGAGCCATGGCTCCGCGCGTCCCCGCCGCCGCCGCCGCCGCTGCTGACTCGGCACAATCCGCGGGGCGCGCGGGGGGCGCGGCGTAGCCGGCGGGCGGCGGCGCGGAGCGGCCCGGGAGCTGCCGGAGGGAGCGCGCCGGGTCCGTGGGTGCCGAGGACGATGCCAGCACAAAGGCGGGCGCAGCCCCAGCCCGCGGCGGGGGGCGGCGGGGATGGCCGCTGAGGGCGCGCCCCGCTCGCGCCGCGCCTCCTCCGGCCGCCGTGGGTCCCGGGGCGGAGACGGCGGCGCAGCCCGGACCTGCATGCGACGCGCAGCGACGCCGCGGCCGCCAGCCTCCCCGCGGCGCGCGCCCCGGCGGAGAGCAGCTCCCGGGCGCGGGTCCCGACCTCCAGGACTGCGGGGCTTCCCCGGGCGCGGGCCCCGCACCCGTCCCCGCACCCGTCCCTGTCCGCTGAGCCCGGTGAGTGCGCGCCCGGCCGGGCCCTCCGCCGCAGGCACGGGACCGCGGGGGCGGCTTTGTTTTCCTTCGGGCTCCGCCGCGGTCATTCATTTGACACCCGGCCTCCCGCTGCCCGGCGCGCGGGTGGGCGTCCGGACGCGCGTCCGGGCTGGTCTCCCCGGGCGCGCACTTCGGGACCGGGAGCACCGCGAGGGGAGCATCGCTGGGGAGCATCGCTGGGGGAGCACCACTGGGGGAGCATCGCGGGGGGAGCGCCGCGGGGGGGGGGAAGCATTGTTGGGGCAGCGGAGGCTGCGCTTCCTTTGGGCCGGGACTTGCCGGAGCTGCCCGGCCGGGTCGGGCCTGGAGGAGCCGGGCTGTAGCTGAGGACGTAGGCGCCCTCGAGGCCGAGCGGCTGCAGAGGCGGGCTCCCCGCGCCCGGCCCCTTTGCTGGCGGAGCTCCAGTGTTTTGCGAGGCGATCACTCTGAGTTTTAGGGACACATTTCTTTCCTTCCGAGGGGGACGTCCGTGGGGACCCTGCAGGGGCTCCCAGCGGTACAGGGATCCATAGATCTTGAACTTGGAGGAAGCTCGCAGAGTCTGTGGTCGTCCAGGAGACAGGTGGGCAGCAGGCAAACTTGCCCGAGGCGTTAGCCCGTTGGTATGTTTGTGCTTCCACGGCCCCTGGAGCCCAGCAAACTTGGAACGCGCCTGGCACCCTTTCCTTTGTCGGAGGGTGGCGTTTGTCTCTTGTTGAGTAGTTTCCTGTGCGTGGTCATTTAGAAAAAGATGGTAAGGTAACTAGTAGAGTCCTCTCTCAGATCTGGTGAAATTTCATATACTCACTGGTTTGTCTGACAAGTAGGATTTTATTTTATTTTAAAAAAAATATTTTTTTATTGATTTCAGAGAGGAAGGGAGAGGGAGAGAGAGAAACATCAGTGATGAGAGAGAATCGTTGATGGGCTGCCTCCTGCAGGCCACACTGGGGAATCGAGCCCACCACCTGGGCATATACCCTGAGGGGAATGGAACCGTGACCTCCTGGTTCATAGGTCAAGGCTCAACCACTGAGCTACCCTGGCCAGGCACGTATGACTTTCTTTTTACTGTTTCTCCTTTTTCCTTTGCCTAGAGAGAGCTCCCTCCCCCCTCACAGATGGCTGTGTGTTCTGAGAGATTATCCATGACCTGTAGACAGAGGAGGGCCAGTTGTCGGGCTCATCTTTGTCCTTATTGAAGCGAGAGGCCTCCTTTGCACCAGGCTGTCATTCACGGTGTGACAGTCTGGAGGTGGCTAATCTGTTTGGTCATCGGTGGATTCCTGTAGGGATTGTTTATATAGTGAGGGAGGCAGATGGCCTCCCTCCCACGGGGAGCCCAGCAGAAAGGGTCATTGTGTTCCAGCCACGTTAGCCACCTCCCTGAGGGGAGCTGGAGTGGGGGGGGGGGGGTAGAGGGTGGGGAAGTCATCCTCTTGATCTTTCCAGGGAGACCAGCAGTCTAACCAGCTCAATTCTCCTTTCTCTGTACATTTAAAAAGTCATCATGAAGCTGTTTGTTTGGGTTATTGCCTTGGCACACTTTGGTCTCACTTGTGGTTATGTGAAGCAGTTTGAACAGTTATACGAACAAAAAAAAAAATGTCTTTGAATTGAATACGATGGCACCCCTCAGGGGGGAAAACAGAGCGTTCCTGAGCTCTTGTTCATTTCACAAATGGCTCCTTTGGACGCATGGTGTCTGCTAGGGAAAGGGCTTCCGTGCAACTGCATTCATTCCCTTTAGTTCTAAAGGCGTTTCTTCCACCATCGCCAGGACAGGTGGATCCCAGCTCTCAGGATTTGCTTCCCCCACCCCCACCCCCCCAGCTATGGGCCACTTTACCATGGCTTCCATCACAGCACTGAGCAGGCTTTGGCCAGGACGCTGTGTGAAGGGCTGTGGAGTCTGTGAAGAAGCCAGCACCGGCGATGAGCCAGCCGGGCGTTCCTGCTCCTACCATCGTTGTGCATTGTTTACGTGCCGCACGTCACAGCTCAGCCACACACGTGGCCTTCCCTCTGTGCTGTGAAGGGAGAGCTTCCAGCCACAGGACACAGTTTAATGAGGAGTGGGAGCGATGCGGGACCCTGCTGGACAGGAAGTGGAGCTCCAGACCTCGGGCTTGCTGTGGACCCGGTCCACGCCCCAGTGTGCTGCCGCCTGCGTCCGTGGGAGAACACGGAACCAGTTCGGCATGGTGTGTTGGGTAGGGAGTTGCCAGCACCGTGGTGGAAAGAGATCTGGCATGCACGAGAGAGGACTGCGTTTGCATTTCGGTTGACCCGACGGAGGCAGGGGCTGCCTGCGTGTGGGCACACAGGATGTCTCTGGTGGGAGGGTGTGAGCGAGGGGTCGGAAGGGTGACCGGACCTCCTGGTTTGCCTGCAACAGCCCCCGCTTATTACTGTTGGCCTCGCGTATCAAACTGTCCCCTTTCCTACGTCAGAGCGTCCTGGTTTGGGTGATAAGTCATGTTAAGGAATCTTGACTGTTTACCACCCTCTCCTGACCTCACATTTTGAGTCTTGCTTTATTGCGGCCTCTTACTGTTCAATGCAAAAATAAGAAAGGTAAAAACAAACAAATAATATATGCATATCAGAAAAAAAACAAACAAAAACCCAAAGAAGATAGAAAAGGAAGGTAAATGGATCTCTTGTCTCACACACACACACACACACGCACGCACACACACACACACACATATATGAAATAAAGTAGTTGCATCCTTCAGTTGTTAGAGTGGTTTTGTCAGCTCAGCAAAACCTGTCTGTAGGCCTGCCGGGCGCGTGGCTCCGCAGGAGTAAAGGTTTCAGGACGGAGTGTTGGGTCCAGGTTCTGGAGATTTACTGGGAGTTCAGAGCACAGGTGTTGTTGCGAGGACTCGACTCCCAGGTTCCAAGCTCTCAGGGCCACAGGCTGATGGGAGAGCCCTTCGTTCTGTCCTCTCTCTGACCCCAACCTTGGGTTTGGGCCCCAGCCCTTGGGGCAGAGGGCTTGCAGAGGAGAACGGTGGGGAGCACTCTCATGGGGGTGTGAGATTGTGTAGGTGGCCTGGTAGGGGTTTGGCTTCCAAAGCTGGATATATGGTTCGCGCACCCATTTCTGCAACCACCGTGCTCCTTTGCTAAAGAATCGTCCGTCTTAAAGAGTTCAGTGGCAGTGGTGGCCAGAAGGTGTTCCAGTTAATTTTGGCTGTCACCTTTTCCTTAGAGTCCTCAGAAGCTTGGGCAGCATGTCTGAAGAAGAAGAAATTTATTTATTTCTTTTATAAGTAGGATGACTATATAATTTTTTTTTTTTTTTTCCAGACAAGGACATTTTTGAGAGTCCTTGAACTATATCAAAAGCTATATAACCTTGTACTGTCCTGGAAACTTTGAAATATGGTTGTCTTAACTATGACCTAAGTCATTAGTTAAAAAAAAAAAAGATTTTTGTTGATTTTTAGAGAGAGAGAGAGAGAGAGAGAGAGAGAGAAATGGAGATAGAGAGAGAGGGGGGGGGGGAGAAAGGCACTGATGTGAGAGAGAAATCAGCTGGCTTCTGCATATCCCCTACCGGGGATTAAGCCTGCAACCCGGGCATGTGCCCTGACCAGGAATCGAACCAGCGATCTTTCTGTGCACGGATGATGCTCAACCAACTGAGCCACACTGGCCAGGGGGTCATTAGTTTTTATCCAAAGAATACCCATAGAATAGAAAAATGTCCTTAGCTTCTAGATTAGTTCATCATATATACTTATGTGTGTACATGCATATATACTTACATATACACTGAGTGGCCAGATTGTTATGATCTCTGAACGCATAATAATCTGGCCACTCAGTGTATATCCTATATAATAAAAGGCAAATAAGCAAATTGTCCCCTCAACCAGGAGTTGGACCAGCAGGCAGGCCAGCCAACAGCCCATGTCCCCTCCTCCTGGCCAGGCTGGCCAGACCCCACCCATGCAAGAATTCATGCACCGCCCCCCCCCCCCCCATACACACACACACACACACACACACACACACACACACTGAGTGGCCAGATTATTATGTGTTCAGAGATCATAATAATCTGGCCGCTCAGTGTATATGTATATATAAACACTGGTCACATATCTATAGATATGTAAATGGTGGGGTTGAAATGAACCAGTTGAGAAGGCCTAGTCATTTGGAAAACTGTGGCCTCCATCATCTTTCAAGGATTGACTTTCCAGTTAAACTCTCTGCACCCAGCCTTTCCAAACTTCAGTTCCTCTTCTCACATGTGTAATTGAAACACCGATCTGTTGGAAAGATTTTCCTGCTTGAACATCTTTGCTAGCTCTCCATTTTCTGTTTAAGTCTCAAAGGGAGATCCAGACAATTTGGTGGTCAGAGAGAAAAAGCAATGAGAATTTCATTCATTCATTCATCGCACTACTATTTATTGAGCACCTTCTGTGATTCAGTCTCTGATCTAGGTGCCAGGAAATACCAACGAATAAAAGATCCCTGCCCTTGAGAATGGAGGGATGGGAGTGGGAGACAGATAAAAAAGCAAGTAAATAAGTAAATCATATAGCATGCCAGCTGAGGAGGCAAGGACTTTGGAAAGAAGAGAAAGCAGAGCAAGGTAAATATGGTGGAGGAGGCGTGGCGGTGAAAGAGACCTTTACAAAGACTTAAAAGGAGGCGGGAGAGATTAATGATGCCTGAGGGTGGGTGTTCCAGGCAGAGGGAGCAGCCATTGCGAAGGCCCAGAGGTGAGAACGTGTTTGGATGTGTTCAAAGATTAGCAAGATGGGGTGGGGTGGCCAGGGGGTCGTTGGAAATGAGATCAGAAAGGCGGTGGTGAAGGAGTGACAGAGCACGTAGCAGAGTGTTTGTGATGGTAGCAAAAATCTTAGGTTCTTAAAACCCACACTATTAAAAACTGTGTCTGTGCTGTGAAAACCGCCCTGGTTAATAGAGCTTGCATCCCATGTGGTGCACTGTAT